ACATAGTTGCTTTTCCCGCAACTGCACCGGATACTGTAAAGGACTCAGATGTTCCTTGTCGTGGCAGTAGGTCTTTAGGTTTCAATATCCGACTCCTTATGGTTGTCTCCGGCTTGTGTGCAACTCCAACTCCAAGTAGCGAGAAGGCGGCCGACATATGTGATCGCTCGCCAAAGCATTAAATTTTCACCCATAAAACATCGTTAATTCATCAAATTCAATTCACTACCGTTGTCTATTACCTATAAAACACCATCCATGTCCATTGCAAAATGTTATGAGAAATATGAGCCCTCTTCCTCATAGCGCAGAAAATTGTATGCTTTTCCTTAGACAAAATGTATGGACCATATAGGTTGGCAATCCCGAATGCAAATGTAAAGACCCATGGGGTATAACATTATTCGACAATTCATATGGTTTTTCGAAAATTAAAAATACCCGCTCTTCCAATATAAAATGTACAATAAGTGTGATAAGCTGCAAGGAAGAAGAGTCTTGGGAATATTTTCTATAAAAAAATGTTTTAATTTATAAGAGCCTCGAAGGTAAGTAGGAAAAAACCGCACTATGTATGTTGCTATTTTTTTAACAAAGTATACTTTTTGTAGACGGTCAGAAAGGGGATCGTTGAAAGTTGGCATCCTGTAGTTAGTGAGATATTTTGAGATTCGGCTATTGTAACCCTGCTTAAGTAATTTTTTTTTTTCTAATCAGAAACAACGGTTGGAATTTCAGTTGAGATTTCACGAGATAGTAAATCCACTGTAGAGGTGCCACTGACCTTGCCGGAAATGTTAATCTAACTGATCTAGTTATTTACACGAGCTGGGTTTTTCTCTTCATACGTACGCCACGACGATCCCTTCGAGCTGTTCTTTTAGGCGTGGGGATTCAGAAGGCTGTGCATTCATTAAGCGGTGCCCATTTAATGCAGCAGCAACAAGCAGCAGTCAATAAGCAGTCATTAAATTCCACGCCACCAACAAACCCTGCAGTCTAGGCTTGCTTTGCTGAACTTGTTGTGGTCAAACGTCGGATTGAGATTTTTCAATGCCCCTCCCTCCCCTCCCCTAACTCGTCTTTCTTAGCAGACAGGGGAGAGGGAGGTAGCAGCGCATTTGCATATAAAGAGATCAGTCGGCAAACCAAAGAGCTCTCTACTCTCGACATCCCAGGAGACAACCGACAGGGACTTTGCTCGG